ACGGGGGGCGGGGTTCAACTTCTACCACGACGCTCACCGACTTGACCTTACCTGGTAAGACTAAAACGGCGGTAAGTAAATAAATTCATTAATTCGTGGATTTCTCCACTCCACTGCGTCTCCACTGCCCGTTCACCTCATACCTCTACTCATTTTTCGATTTACCACACCAACTTGATAGCGGAATACAAGACAGATCAACGTTATTTTCATGTTTATTGATCCGATACAATATAGTGCACGCCAGTTAATAAGTAATTATCATCTACATAAATCGAATTAGACCATGCTAAACGAAGGCTGAGCCGTAAAGTGATCAGCAGTCCCGTATGTAAAATATTGCAGATCTGACGTAAAGAATTCAAGAGATGAATAAGCATTTCAGTCAATATCATCACAAATATATACCAATAAGTATGGCTATTTACTTCGATAGAATCCCACAAGCCACCGCGAATTTCAAAAAGCAGTCTTATGTCGGGAAAAAATATTTAAATATTTCAAGGCCTTCGTAAGCAGATATAAGAAGTGATATCCAAAAAACTTACTTAATGAGGAAAAGGAGAATAAAAGACTAGTCAATACCAGCATGGGATATGGGATAATGAGGCCGCACCTAAAGCGGATAAAAATACCTCAACAAGAGATCCCCATTTCAAGTGGGTAACCGTCATGAACCCACGTTTGGCACCCCCATCATCAGTCACTTTCCATTAGTAAGTATCTTGGATACCACTTCAGTAAGGGAAATAGGCAATTGATAGAGACCGTGGCATGTCAGATATTAAATTTAAGACTATGGCTATCAGTACATACACCACAATAAGGCATGTTATAGATCATCTTCAATCCAGCTTGAATTTACATCATCTTCATGTTCCGATAGAGTATCCTGCATAGAGCGGAACTTTTCACGTAGCGCATTCGCTAGGTAGTTGCCCTACAACAGAATACACAAAGAATGAGAACCAATTTGTGGAAATTAAAAAGAAGAAACCAGCAACAAAAAGACAGTCATACCTCGTCATTAGATAGCCTCGATTGTCGGACTACGGGTGTTCCGCCTGGGGATCTTAAAATACTCATCCACACAAAAATAGTTCAAAACAGAAATGGCATTTGTTATCAGCATCTAAAAGAAGCTTCGGAGGCGGAGCAGGTGTGAGATTTCCGATGGCTTCTGGGGAAGCAGACTGTAGTGTATCAAGATGCACACCATCAAGTCAGTTTTAACGCTTCCCAAACATCAGCGATGTGTTAGCAAAGCCGACCAACTTATGTTAGCGTCAAAGCATCAAAACCAGCTGAAGCGATTTGAAGGAAGGTGACTGGTCTGCACTGAATTCCTCATGAAGTTTTCATTTATACTTTTGGGAGCTTATTTTGCTTTTTGTAGCTTGGGAGAGGGTTGACGTGTACCATTTAACCCTTTCACGACAATGGCACCCAAGGATGGATGCCACTCCGTCCGCCGTGTGGGACAACAGCACTCATGGTACGTGGTAACCTCTGAGCATGGTCTATCCTTTGCGCATTAGCCAACATTGGGGGACGATACATATGTCCCTCGCACTTTCGCTCGGATTTAGGCTAGTTCTATCTACAATTTACCCCCCCCCCATTTTCACTATTATCAGCGTGGTCCATCTGCACTATCGGCCGTAGAAAATACACTTTTTTATAAGTGGTGAAATTATCAGTGAATTAATTACTATTCATGAGAATTTCTAGAAAATCATAGGTATACGCGCACTAAAAGGTGGTTAGTAACGTGTTAAAAATATTTTTTAACCATCTAGTGATTACTGAAAAGCTACATAATATCCATGCTCGCAGACATGGTTAGGAAGATGGTTTGGTGTAGGGGCTGACTTAAGATTTTCAGACTATGGATTTAGTTGGGCAATATACTATAACTGGACGTATTGCCATCACCTTAGAGTGATAGATGATATCTGAGTCAGGACTTTTTGCCGTTTTCTCATGGTCTTCAATACACAGAGTTGTTCAGACTGACGGATGCTAACGTTCTTGCGTCTTGATAGTCGCTGGCGAGCGGGTCAGCCTCGGCCTCAGATTGGGTTTTGTCGGTCTGCTGTCTTCCCTGGCCTTCACGCTACGAGGCGTGTTCTGGCCTCAGGGCAGGGTTGGTCCCCTGAAAGGTTGTGTATATCAAAAATTTCATTGTACATATGATCTTCTACAGTATAACCCTCCACCCCTTTGGAATCCGAGTTCTCCTTCCAAACATCCTATTCACTTTCCACAATGTATAGTAAGTTAGAATGACGCTGCCTCAATTTTGAATGTTGCTAAAGTTAAAAATTCGGTAGAAAAGCTGCTTCCAGGTACCATTTTGCCCGTTGAGCGAGAGTTAGGCGTTCTAAAAAGTTGTTGTCAAAGGGTTTACCAACAGCACACGGAGGTACAATTGACTTGTACAATCTCATAAATCGTGCTTGAATCAGGTGCACCTTTTTGCCGCCCCAAATCATCATATTCGCCCGCAACCGTATAAGAGCGAATTTGAAAAATACCGAAATGGAGAGTAATAGTAATAAATGACAATTGTGTTGAATAAATAGACAATCATGAGATGTAATTATAAATCCATCTGTGATTAAAACTTGCCTGACGGTGTCGGTCTTCCTTAGCTGTACTGTCAAAAGCTCAGTAGCACTTGGTCGAACAGGAAGGGTGTCATGTTCAACTTTCGTCGACTTATTCAACATTTGCAGCACGGTTCGCTAAAACAACTTGGATTCGAAAACTGCTATGTCCGTTCTGATGACATGGATTACCGGAAACTTCTAAAGCTCCAAAAAGGTACTTTATAAAGCCCGGTACACAACTCTACTTATAAACGTGGAGAGTCCGTTACATTTTGTCTGCGCTTCGCAAATTATTCAATAAAGAACAGACAACACCCATACAATTCGAATTTACACACTCAAAACTAAAACTTGATTAGGTTACCACATAGATATAGCCGCGACTGAAGAAATCAAAGACATTTCACATTGAAATAAGACAAAAGCCACTGAATCAAGCAATGACAACGCCCTTTAGTGCATCTAACCAGCTTTCCACTCACAAATTTACAGTAGCATGGTACAAGCAAGAAATAGTCTTACCTTGGAGGAAGGCGTATTCGCTCTACTGACCGAAGTCGTGCTCGTCGACAACAACGATGGGGGAGGTGGTGGTGGTGGCGGCGGGGGAACTCCTGATCTTGATGGAGCTATGCCGCCGCGACTTCCAGCGGGGAAGGACACCTAGAAGACATTATCGACATTGACGGACAACTAAGCCAGCATATTTGTGAAGGAAATTCACTAAAACACTCACCGTATCAGTTGGACTGCACAACGACGCTCCTTTGCCCTCATCATCCGAAAGAAGCGGAGACGAATCGGACGATTCCGCGGGCTGAATAATAATGGAAAAATAGACCATTGAACAAATCGTGAGAAAAAAAACTGAAAATAACAAACCGCGACAGGAGGCGGTACCTTTCCCGCCAACAGTGTTTGCATTTGCTTCGACAGTAACGCGAGCTGTGCCTCTAACGATTGTATCTGAAATTGTAAATTCACTAGGGATATTCCACTTTCCATTTCCACTATTAAATAAGAAAGGACCTGTGTCAACATACTTTCAATTCTTGGTCAGTCGCCATAGTACTCGGTAAAGAGAATCGCTCGTCTTCATCTTCCGTGGGAACAGCCATTTTCATTGGACAGTTAAATAACTGCAAATGAGTTTGGATCTATTCCGAAATATCGCATCGAATCACCTTTAGAAATGGTACCCAATTAATAATCAATTACCTGAAAATCTTTCAAATCTGATTCACTGTCGTGTTGTGACAATACCGGTGACGGTAGTCGATCCCAAGCTGGTGAACGAATTGTGTAAGCGTGAACCACACCTACATCCAGGAACAGTTTAGCATGGACTTGACGTAATACAGACAGAAAATGTGGATTTTTATATGAATTAGAAGGCCAAGTTCCGTCACTATAGTACTAGAACAGATCTACCCGTACAAAAACCGAAGGTGGTGGGGTTCTAATTTGGAGCCTAAAATAAACAAAGGCGCAAGGAACCGCACACCATATACATACCGTCTTCAACTTCTCGTTCATAGTATGGTAGCCACAATTGCAATTCATTAAACGTGTACTTTGGTGGCTTCCATCGGGATCGTAATGGAACCTGAACCTTCAGTCCTTTACATCGAAGAATTCAAATTGTTGAAGAGCAACTACATGTTGTAAGAGAGCAAGCTCACCTCATTGAGAATCATGGCTTCATCGCTGTTCAATGCCGGCCCATCCTCGGAAAGATGTTTGAACCTCCTAGAAGCGCGTTAAAAATATGATGAACGTAGAAAAACGAAAGGTAACTCATATACTAACGATTCTGAAAAGTGCTGCAAATAATTGGGCAATCCTTCGACAGTCTATTCGCATCGATTCGACGCAGAAACGCCGAATTCGATGGCCACAGTCACGCAGGAATAGTCGCTGAAAAAAAGAATCTACTAAATAGTTGAAGATACTATTCGGTTGACTACAAATTTATCTGCAAAAATATCCCACCCCCCGCTACGAATCGAAGATTTTTGACACGAATCCTCAACCTGGTCAACAGCTGGGATCGATGACAACGCAGATAGATAAAGTGAAGAATCTAATTAGAAGGATCGGGATCTAGAGTGTAAGTGGATAAAGAACAATCCTGGCATTTTCTAACACCTCGAATTACGTCTCAAACTTTGGAAGCAAGGTGCATTTTTCTTGTAACGGCTAATCGACGCGAAAGTATTGTTCGGTCCCTTTGAAGTTCATAAGATTTTTCTCGGACCAGGGGGTCACGTAAAAATAATTTTGTCTGAGCCTCGAACCAACATAGGAGCCAAAAGTTCCACATTCATAGCTGCCAGTCTTTACAAAAAGGTAACTAAAAATATGGTCATCAAGCGTAAAATGGCTGCAGTGTTGACTGAAAATAATTTCGTAGTTCCGTGAAGTTAGCTACTTCTCTACTACGTTTCATACTTGTGAGACGCTTTGTATTTGTTCTTACGAAGCGTCTGGTGTTCTACATTGCAGATTTTTCTGTATAATTGTATGCACTCTGTTGGTACTGTTCGCTTTCGTTTGGTTAGTTGTGTTGTTTCTACATGATTGATTATTTCTTTTTATTATGCCTTAGCAGCGCAATGAACATAACATAAAAGAAGAAAAACCCACCACTCGACGTATCTCTGCTTCTATGTAGATCATCAGCAATTCAATACCACCAGCTGTTGTTCGTGCTACAGATGTATGTACATGTGGGTCAAAGTCAACATCCTCATCGTCATCGAGCTGCTATAAAAGTCATCCAGAATTACAAATAAACACTGCTTAAATAGATGTTCATCAATTGTCCACTTCAAAAGAACTTTCGGACAACTCAATTCACAGTCACTACCGCTAAATTATTGGCAGTAACAGATACAATCGCGAATTAGGCATGGAGTAAGGTCCTCTTTGGCGGACAACAAAAAGATAATTTTTGTGGCAAGCAATAAGCACACTGATACTTGGAAATTCTTCGCGCAGTCGTGTCCGCTACCACCTTATATTTTACTGCAACCATCATTTCTCTTTATTTTTCAACGGTTTTGTCTAATTTCTTTCATCTTCCTTTTTCAATTGGCTGAATAGTTCACGGGGTAGAAAGAAGGACGCACAGT